CTGTTAGCCACATATATGTCTTCTTTGGAGAAGTGTCTTTTTTAACTCTTTTACCCACTTTTGATTGGGTTATTTATTTTATGTTGTGTTATATAAGTTCTTTGTAGGGATTGATATTTTCCCCTTGTCAGATGTATAATGTACACATACTTTCTCCCAGTATTAAAGTGTCTTTGTTTTAACAAGAATTGTATTCACTTTATAGAAGATTTTCAATATGATGCAGCCCCATTTATTTATTTTGCCTTTATTTTCCTTACTGTGAGAGCTGAGTTTCCAAAAACATTACTGAAGCCAGTGTTGTGGAGTAATTTGTCTATGTTTTCTTTTGTGTACTTCATGGCTTCCAATCTTGCATCCAAATCTTGAATTCATTTTGAACTAATTTTGGCATATGCTGTGAAATAGTTCACTAGTTTTGTTCTTCTGCATATAACTGTCCAGTTAGTATACCACTATTTGTTCAAGAGACTTTCTCTATTGCTTACTCCTGATTCTTTGTCATAGATTAACTCCCCATTTACATTTGCACTTATTTGGGAGTTCTTAATTCTGTTACATTGATCTGTGTTTCTATTTCTAGTCCATGTTTTGATTAGTTTGTATTTTGATTATTTTAGCCTTATAGTATAGTTTGAAACCTGGGAGCATTCCTCCTTTTTGTTGCCAAAGATTGCATTAGCTATTTGGATCTTTTGTGGTTCTGTATAATTTTCAGTAATGTTTGCTCTATGTATTTAGAATTCCATTGGGACTTTGATAGGGATTGTGTTGACTATGTATTGCTTTGAGTAAATGGACATTTTAATAATATTAATTCTTCCAGTCTTTGAACATGGAATATCTTTTTATTTTCTTGTATCTTTATCTCTTTTAACAATGTCTTAAACATTTTGTGAAATAGATCTTTTACCTCTTTTGCTGGATTAATTCCTAGATATTTAGTACCTTTTGATGCCACTATGGATCTGATTGTTTGCTTGATTTCTTTCTCTTCAACTCCATTATTTGCATTTAGGAAGGCAACAGACTATTAAATGTTGACTTTATAGTGTGCACTTTATTATACTGATTTATTGTTTCTAGTAGATGTTTTTAATGGAGCATTTAGAGTTTTTCTATGTATGTTATCATGTCTTCTGCAAATAGGATATTATGATTTCTCTCCTGCATTTAAGTTTCTATTTCTAATCTTGTCTGTCCTCTTCCATTCTAACACAGAATGTGTCTGTCCAATTCTTCCAGCCAGCACATAATTTTGACATTTGAATTCACTTCCTGTACATTTCTTAAATATCTCAGAACTGGTTTTGTTTTGTGTGTGTGTGTGTGTGTTTTGTTTGTTTTTTTAATATGGCAAAATACTATCAGAACACTAATGCATTTCTTTATGATAATAAATGCTTTAAAGTGTTATCCATTTTTGTGATTACGCATGTCAGAGATAAATTCATAGATAACCTAGTGAATTGAAATGAATAAGTTCTTCTGGTCCAAGCACTGTGTTACAATGGAAGGGCAGACAAAGTCACAGCACACCGGAAATCATCAGTGAAACATGCAAAACTAGTTGAAGTTTCTGCATTTACCGAAAGTAATATCCGTATAGAGGTTATGGAAATAATAATATATCACTATGACAAGGATCACATTGGAGTTAAAAGTTCATGATCCTCACACCAAACATTAGGCTGAAATATGCTTCTTTCCAAAGCTGTCACTTGCTTTAGGAATAGCTGTAGATCCAGGAGCCCTCCACACCCTGAGATCCCCCTTTTTTCAGGAGTTCAAGGTGTTCCCACAGGAATTTCTCACTCTATGCATAATAAGCACATGGGCTTTTCAGGTCAAACTGTAGAAAATTGTATTCGAAGAGATCACTATCATTTGCAATAATAGAAAGTGATTTTGAAACAATATATAAATCATAACATTGAATTTGTATATAAATATGCTTTGTTCAATATTAACTTTGAGAAAACTTGTAGAATATTGTTCAGCTAAAATGTCATTGTTAAAATGTGCATTTATCCATTAAGATAACCAAATCTCTTAAAGTTATGCAATTAGAATTGTAACTTGATCAATTTATGGTTAAATAGCAATGATAATCTAAAGTATTATCCATAATTTCAAGCAGATCTATACAGTTACATACTCACAGCTAAAATTTCAGAAATACCTGTTCTTGGTGACTCAATGAGTCAAACTGACCAGATTAATTTAATGTAAACAAATTTCTTGGCCATTATCAGAGATTAGTATGATTTTTAATGTCATCACTAATTTTCCTTCTCTTTATTTTGACTTGTGGAGCTTTTTGTAACACAGACAAGATAGCTATTCTGGACCTGTATATGTTTCTCCGTCCTTTACCCATATAAGATTTACATTCTATAAGACAAAACTTTGAGTCTCTGGAATTCATATTTCCCTAAAACCATCACATTACCATGTATAAGTCAGGAATTCAGTAATTTTCTCCCACAGAATGTGTGGATCTTGTCATTTTTACCACTTGAGATTTTAGCTGCTTTGTTATGTGATATCCTTGATTTTTTCAGAGCATCTGGCATGTCAGTAAACATATAAGATCAAAAGAAAATCTAGTATTGTCTTTGTTTGAATGGCCAGAATGTGGCTTTCTCTTAAATCCCAAAATAGGAAGCAAGTAGGTAACTATCAACTAATAATAAGTGTGATTTAAGAGGGTGAAAACTTTTAAGTATGGTTATAAAATGTCTACATATTAAAAACTTGTTTCTGATTTATTTTTTGTTTCCTTTGAGTAAAAAGATAATTCTTATATTATTTAACAGATGGGTGTGTTGTTGCATTACAATGGGCAATAGCTAAATGTTTTACTCAGTAATATCCCTGCTACTCATAATTTGGTGGCACATATCACTTTGATTATAGACTTCTTCAGTAGTTCCTTAACTATATTAATATTTTTTTATTAATTTCTACAATTAGGCTTTTTTAAGTGATAGTAAAAATTATCAGAATATTATTCATTTGATGCTTTCAATACAAAGATATAATGAGAAACCAAACAATTCTCATAGCATATTGAGACTTTTGCTTGGAGGAACATTGTATGGGGGAAAATTCCTGATGTTGTTAATTGAAACAAAAAACTACAACACTAACATTCTTAATTATTAAGTAATCTCTTAAGTACCACCACTGTCCCATGTGACAGTGGTTATTCTTTCCATCAGCATCTAGCTTCTCAAGGCTCCTTGGAAAGCAGAATAAAACCTAGACCATGATACTCTGTAGGATTTGTCCAGTTTTCTGCCTCAAGGCCACCAGATCCCTCCTGGACCACAGTGGATAAAATGTTCATCACTATCCATTATTCTAATAAGTGTACTCTATGACATTATTTTATTTATATACTTGGTGTTTTCCACTCTTTCCCTCCTAATCTAGTGTCCATCTCTTCTTTTCCATTCAAGCATACGTATCATTAGAGCAGGAAACTTGTATACACTGTTTTTTACTGTTCTATAGCCCCATAGTATGAAACAATGCCTGAACCTAGTGCTTGCTTAATATTATTAACTGAATGAATGTATGATTACCATTCCTCAAAATATTTAAGATAGATGTGACTTTGTTTTATATATGAGAAATTTTTCCTAAAATCAACATAGCTAATTAGGTGAGTCTCTAGAGTTCAGAATAAATATGGCATGAGTGGATGATATTCTTTCCAACTTTTTTTTTTTAATTAAAAAGTTTATTTTTACATCATTTTTCACATTTTTTTTCATCTCAATTGTAATCCCCACGGGTTTCCCATCACCAAATCACCCCTGTGCCACCACCATAGTCCCGTGCATTTCCCTCCCTTCCCCCCACCCCCGTTTTTGATCCCATTCCCCACTCCACCCCCACAGAATGTCTCTGGTCTATGGTTGTTCATTATTTTTGTTATTTTCTCGCCTGGTCCATTATACTCCTGCTATGAGTGAAACCATCCGGTATTTTTCTTTCTCTTTCTGGCTTATCTCACTAAGCATGATCTTTTCCAGCTCCATCCAAGTCCAACTTTTTTTTTAATAGTAAAGATACCTGTATAATTCTGAGTCAATTCATTTATAACCACTGTGAAAGCAGTAAAAACTAAGAATATTTAGTATATTTTATGCAGAATATTTAGGAAACCTTAGTCTCGAAAATAAGGTTTTGTAATAGATGAAAGTAATGCTCAATTATCATTTTCATATTTAAAGCAATGCTTTTTATATTAAAAGCAAATTTAAAACAAATCTGTGATGGCTTTTATCATTGTTAGTGTTTTTATTATTACTATTTTTATAATTAGTATTTACTGCTTCACATCGTTAAAACTCAGTTGAGATTATGAAAAGAAAGAACTCTAAAATTATGAATATAGCATCTCACTGAAATTGATTTAAGAGATTGAATAGAGATCCCTTTGCAAAATTAACAAAACCCCCAAAATACAACTGATTATAAAATGTTTATCTTATTAAAATCAGATATAAAATTTTATAATTACTTAGAATAAAATATGAAGTTGAAAGAATTTGTCATATCTGGAATAGAAGAAATGAGTAAGTCCAGGCTTGAGCTCTCTGGGACACAGTAGTTTTAGTAGAGTAAAAATTTAGATAGTTGATCAGAATTTCTGCTATTTCTACTTGGAAGGGCAAAAGAAGAAGGAAAAGAGATTTGCAAAAGATCTCTACAAAGTGTCTGTGATGAAGAAGAGACTCCCTGGAACATCTATGGGAAAGCAGATGACAGGGCAGTTTGATGAGTCAAGGAAACACTAAAGAATACTTTACATGATCACTGTTAATTGCTTTTGTGAGATTTTGAAGATCAAAAATAGTTTAACAAAGAGGAACGTACTCTGTAAATTATAAAACACCATACAAATAAAACAAAAATTTTACTTTTAAATAATATACACTTTAAAAATCTTTTTTTCTTTTCCACGATTTATATTTGTTGTCTTTCAGATAATCACAAGGATTGTTCTGGTGTGTCCTTACACCTCACACGTGTACCGTAAGTATTTCTAGTTATTGTACCGTGAGTGTCAACTTTCAAGTTTTGAGAATCTAAAAGTAGGAAATCCACTGGATATCTGTTGTTATATAACAACAATTTAGTGGCCTAAATGGCAACTATTTAGTGTCTCACTTTCTTATGCAAGGAATCTGAGCACAGATTAGCTGGGTCCTATGGTCTAGTTGTGCCCAAAAAGGCCACAGTTGAGACTCAAATGGGCAGAAACAGCTTCCAGTATCACTCCCATGGCCATGGGTGGGATTCAGGTGTTTGCTGATTGTTGCTCAGAGAACATCTTCCTTTCCTGGCATGAGGGCTGCATACCAGGCAGCTCACAACATGGCTGTTGGTTCCTGTCACCAGCAGCAAGGGAAGGCAAAACAAATGGAAGCTGTAGTCTCCTAGGAATCTGTTCTCAGAAGTTATAGACCATTATATTATATCTGTTAGAAATAACAAATCTTTTGCCATATTGTATTTGTTCAAAATAATTAATTCCTAGATACAGCCTACACTGAAGTGAAGATGAAGGGTCTGAATGTCAGAACTAGGAAACCTTGGGAGTTGTGTTTGTTAGGGCATCCAGAGAAACAGAGCCAGTGGAATTTGTATGTGTACATCCCTTTGTAAAGTTCAAATTTAATACTGTATTGTGAAATTTCTGTTTAAAGGCAGACACATAGGTGAGAGGGAGATTGAGATTTGGGGGGGTTGAGGGGCATTGGCAGGTCCAGATGGACATTCTGGCAGGAGTCGCTGTTGTATCTTGAGACCAAGGCAGTCTGAGGTTCAATTCCTACCTTCTGGTAGAATTTCAGCGTTTTCTCTTTGAGTCCCAGCCACATTCTGGACAAATAGTCTGGTTTACTCAAAGTCAGTGGTTTAAATGCTAACTGTATCTACAAATACTTCACATCAGCATCTAGACTAATGTTTGACCAAAAATAGGCAACTATAATAATTAGTCACAATGACACATAAAGTTAACCATCACAGGAGCCACTGCCTTCCACATTCACCATGCCAGAAAAAATGTATTTTTAGCTATTTGCCCAAGAAAATAAGAAATTTTAGTGAAAAAAATAAATATTCCACCTCTTTTTTCCATGTTATTGTAACTTCAAAACACACTGTATCATGTAGAACAATGTATACATGTGTATCTTATTTATCCAAGTTAATAGTGTTGACTTCAAATAGTTGAGATAAATATCACTGTTTTCTACAGACAGCCTTTAATTGCTGGCATGTACCTTATGATGTCTGTTGACACTGTAATACCAGCAGGAGAGAAAGGTGAGTAATGATCTTTCAGAATTCATAATGTATTTGTTGAGCAATGAGTATATGCAGTAATGATCTTTTAGACCTCATTAGCTACTGTATAGGAATAGATTTACAATGTGTTTTTTAATAAACTTTTAAAGTGGCTGATATTTTTGAATTCCTGAAAAATAAACTGATTATTTATTATTCTTGGATTTTAAATCAGTTTTTTTTTTTTAAATCCAAATCAGTGGTTTGTTTTTCCATCTTAAAATGCTAAGAATTGAGACCCTTGGGTAGGTAGTGGGTTATGTAAGTAAACAAATAATTTTTTATTTAAGGTTTATTTTATATTAAGAATGTTTTGCAAATCAGTCAACCATTCTTTGATGTCAAAGACAAACTACATGGCATACTGTGGAATCAACATCTGTAGAGAATACCAGGTTCAAGACCAACACTGACTCAGTCTTTGACCCTATATGCATTAAGCTTATTCCCCACTTATAAAATGGGTTAACAATAGCTATCTCTCCTAAATTTATAAAAACTAGTGAAGTAGTTATATTGTTTATCAATAATACTAATCTTAGGATTTTTTTATAGGGGATCTTTTCAACTTATCATCCATTTGGTCCCACTGTTACTGTTCATTCTTTTATTATAATATATTCTTTTGATATATACATATTATATATATATAACATGTTACAAACATATTTATAATATTTATTATTACTGTGTATTAGACCTGAAGTATGGAAAAGTGTATACAGTGGCTTCTTCTCAAGTGAAACTGTCAGTCTGGCTATTTTAGGTGTTTGTAACCAATTTTCAAAAAAATCATTTTGTCCTATTAAAAATAAAAACCAATTTTTAAGCTTTTCCAACTCCATAAATTTCATGACAAAGGTAACCAATTAAATTCATAAGATAAAGATATCAAAGGTAACAAATATGATAAGGGTAGCAAATTAAATAAATTTAGTAGACTGACAGTATTTTAACTCCTGGTCATTTTTTTTTTTTAATGAATGAAATAAAAAATGGCAAAGCAGGGAGTTAACTCATTTCAGAGAAGGAGCTGACCCCATAGTGCTTATATCTGAGGAATACATGAGTGTGTGTGTTTATAAAATATTCCCATGGCCACCACCTTGTGAATAACCTGTCATACTTTTAGACAAGAATGTAATTTTCTACTAGCATAGTGACATTTTTTCTGTTTTCATTTCTAACAGTAGTGAATTCTGACATTTCCTGCCATTATAAAAAGTATCCAATGCAGGTCTTTGCCTATAGAGTTCACACTCATCATTTAGGTAAGAGCCTTAAACTACATGTTAAATTATAAATGTTTACTCTTATGCTAATGTTTACTATAATGCTATATACAGGTAAAATGCAAATTATATATGACCTTAAATCTCTCTTTTTTGAAATATTTGTTACTATTTATTTATGCATATGAGAACTGGGGTGTAGACCAGAGGTATGAGGATGGGGGTGAGAGGATTCACCAGAAACAGAGTGGAGAGCAAGACAGGTGGATCTATACTGCTGAGGGGAGTGGCAAGAAAAATAGAGGTCTGCTACACCATGTGGGTCAGCCCCCTGGCTGGGGAACATACTCAGACCATCATGGTGATAGTGCTGAAAATTAAACCCTAGGCCTCCAGGCTGGAGGCCCCTTAAGCCTGTCTTAATGAAAAGAATTTTGTTCCAAAGCAATGACATTATGTATGGATTTTGATTTTTTTTGTTGTTTCCATTTAGATACCGGGCATTTTGGGTTCTGAAAATATTTAGATTTTATTTTGAAATAAAAGAAATAGTAAAACTAATTTCATTTTGTTTTTCTAATACCTTTTATGTTATATAATTTTTGTTCATTACAGGTAAGGTGGTAAGTGGATACAGAGTCAGAAATGGGCAGTGGTCACTAATTGGACGCCAGAGCCCTCAGCTGCCCCAGGTAAGAATTATGTTTTAATTTTTTTTATTTCTCCACAACTATCTTTCCTTGTGTCCCCTTGTCCTTTTTCCACCCCCTTTGCTTTAACTTCAGAACATTTAAGATTTTTTTGATATCAAATATTTTTTATGTTACTGAATTGTCCAATGTATGTTTTCATTATTCTGATTTGCTCTGCCTTGCCACATTTAATTTTTCAAATTCCCTCCATTTTGTTAAAAATGGCTGCATTTTGTCCTTTCTGGCTATGTAATATTCTATGGCATGTATGTACCACATCTGTGTGACCCATTCATCCTTTGAAAAAGGACTTTGAGGTTCTAGTTATTACTAATCATGCTGTGAATATTGTAGAGTATATGGGGGTTTTGTTGATGGTTTCATATTCTGTGTGTACATGCCCAAGAGTGGGATTGCCTGTTTGTATGGTACTTCTATTTTTAAGTTTTTAAAGTAAGTACAGATATATTTCCATACAGGTTGTACCAGTTCATATTTCCACCATCAGTGTAACAGAGGTTCTCTTCCTCTGTTGGTGTTGGTCTTTTTAATATGAGCTATCCTCATAGGAATGAGGTGGCACCTCATTGTAATAATATGTACAGCTTTCTAATTAGGAATGACAAGGAACTTTTTTTTTCTTATGTCTTTTCTGCATTCTGAATGTCCTTTTTAGTGAATTATCCATATTTTTTGATAATTTGTTAACCAGATTTTTATCATTGTTGAGTTGAATGCATTTTTAATATCTTGGCTACTAATCCTTTGCAAGTTATATAGTATGTAAATTTTTTGCCCATTCAGTAGTGGACTTTGATTCTGTTCCACTTATCCTTGTTTAATTTTGTGTCAATGCCATTGTCTTCAATACTGTTGTTTCGTAGTAATTTTTGCAGTCAAGTAACAGATAATTCCATTTCTCTCCCTTTTTCTAAAGGATTTGCAGTTTGAGGGCTTTGTGGATGCAAATAAATTTCAATATTTCATGTTCAGATTCCTTGAGAATATTGTTGCGGGATTCATATTGCTGGGTGCCGCTTGTGCACCCCCTTTTCAAGTGTAGTTCTGAATCTTAGGAACCTGGTACATTGGCTGTGCAGTCAGTCACTGGAGGGGACACTCTGCATCAGCAACACCTCCCTGTCCTGGGTAGTACAACCTCCTTTTCACTTTCAACAAAGTTCAGTTAGAATTTTTCCTGCCCCTTTCAGTAGAGCTGATGCTCCTATTATATAAGTTGATAATTAGTTTTTTCCTTAAGGGGTTTTGTCTTTGTTTTGCATCCATCATGGGTGTGTGTCTGAGGAGACAAGCCCAGCCTTCTCAGCTGCCATCTTGCTGGACTCCCCAAGTTTGTTTAATTTTGAAAGAAAAAAAATGTTAATCAGCAGAGAGTAACTGTAAAACTATTCATATAGTCTTGCAAATTTCTCTAGAATCTAAGCATTTCTAAATCTACCTTTATTGTTATCTAAAACATGTATGATGTTATTTTTATAAATTTCAACTCGGTGGTTTCCTTATCAGTTGAATTTTTTTAAAGGATTTATTTATTTGTGCACACAAGAAAGGGGATACAAGCCAGATGTGCAGGGAGGAGAGGAGACACCAGAGAGAGAGCAGGAAACAGAACAGGTAGATTGACAGAAATACACTGCTGAGGGGAGCAGAGGGTAAGACAGAAGTCTGCTGTGCCATGTGGGACAGCTCCATGGCAGGAGATCAAACTTGTGCTGCAGTGGCTGATGATAGCTTCATAGTGCTGTGCTTTAACCCCTAGTGCCACCAGGGAGGCCCATCAGTCAGATCTCTTAATATGTCTTAACGTGATGATGATGGTGGTGGTGGTGGTGGTGGTGGTGGTGGTGTGTGTGTGTGTGTGTGTGTGTGTGTGTTCATTCTGTCTACTAAAGATGTGCGAAGATTCATGTTATTGAAGCAAGTACTTCTGAGTTTTCCTGGAAATTATAATGAATCACCACATTTGTTTTCTTGTTAGGCTTTCTATCCCGTGGAACACCCAGTAGATGTTAGTTTTGGTGACATACTGGCAGCCAGATGTGTATTCACTGGTGAAGGAAGGACAGAAGCCACGCACATTGGGTATGATTCTGGATAAAAATAATTTATTGGTGCAGAACATGATTATAGGTGGCATTTATCTTTGTGAATAAATTACATATTTTCCCCATATAAAAAAATGTATGGCAAACTATTATAACATTTTATCCTTTAAAACTGATTGATTTGGAGAAACTCCAGGAAGTGTGCTTATCTTTCCATGCTGTTTTTCTTTCTGTTTAGTCAAGAACTCCAGTGTCACCCCTCTATATATAGAGTGGTCACATAATGTATATTACTTCTCTAGACTCATTTTTATGAAGAAAAATTTAGTGGTTATGAATTATTTGTTCATAAGTGTTCCTTTTGGTCTGTTTTCAAATTTGAGCAAATTCATAAGTAGTACTCCTTAATTACTCACATCCCATGATTCTCCCTGCCTGTTAATACATCTGTGTATTCAGTGTTTCTCAGTTCATTTGTCCTTCTGTATGGCAAATGTAGCACTTATGCAAAAGAGAGTTGAACTCTGAAAGAATTTTCAAATTACTGAGCTTTTATGAAATGAGTATGTTTTATAATACTCAGTAAAATTTTCAGAGCACTGTGGATTCTTTTAAAAAAGGTTTGTTTTTGTCACTTTGTAGGACTTTTTTTCTTTTTCTTTTTCTTTTTTTATCAGAAAGGATCCAATGAGCCTTCTTTCTATAACCCGTTAATCAGGTTATAAACATTTTTTTAAGATGTATCTTTATTTATTAATGCATACAAAAACTGGAGTTCTTCTGCCAGAGGTGCAGAGGGTAAGAAGATTCACCAGAGACAGAATGGGGAGCAGAAAGGCAGATTGACCGAAATTCACTGCTAAGGGGAGCAGCAGGTGAGACAGGAGAAGTCTGTTGCACCATGTGGGTCACCTCCCTGGCTGGGGATTGAACGCAGGCCAGAGTGACTGGTGATGACTTCATAGCACTGAAACTTTAGCCCTTGCACCGACAGGAAAGCCCCCAGGTTATAAGATATTTACTGATGCACCTTGGAAGCTGCAGTTTTAAACTACTTATCTGATCAAAGGGAAGTTACTAAAATTGGGCTTCTCCAGTTAAGTGGACTAAAGATAATTCTTAAGATGTCGACACTCGCTTGGTTGTCAGGGAAAAAAAGAAAAGGTAATGAAGATGTTAAAATAAATAAGGGGGGGCATTAGAATAAGATATTTATGTTCCTCTACTAGTGTTTTTATGTTAATAAGTATCAATTTTAAGGCTAAACAGAAAAAAAATTCAAGCAGCATTAACAGTTTTACTCTTGGATAAATTGCAAACATTTGGGGGGAAGGTCTTGTAAAAAAGCAGTGAAATCAGAGTTATGAGAAACGATACTAGTAAGAGTGATAAGAAAAACAGTAGTAATAAGAAAATGGTTGAGAAAGGAGGCATAATTAGATTTGAACAAGAGTCTGACAAGTCATTTCTTAATCTTTAAATACATAAAGTAACCTGATTCAGAGTATATTGATCTGTTGTTCTCCATATTATACTAATGTAGGGATCTAGGACTGGATCCTACTGGTTTCTTTTGAAACAGGTAAGCAAAGATGTTAAAAAAAAAAAAAGAAGAAGAAGAAATGCTGCCACATATTAATGTATTAATTTATGACTTCAATGTAGAATAGATTAAAGTTTTTGTTTTTGTTTTGCTCAGAAGTCTTTTATAATTTGAGGGTGGGTATGAGGGAAGCTTATTATGATGGCTATATTGTATCCTCTGAGTATCTTCTGTTAGGCAATGCGAAAGATAGAAATTAATGACTTGTTATAATACCAGATGGGAAGCCAAAGTGATCTCCTGAGGCCTCTTTCAGTTTCATGAATCCAGAAAAACTCTAGTCTTTGTAAAAATGTTCCTTCTGCTTTAAAATAATACCCTAAAATGATACTAATCTATCTATTTTGTAAATCTCTTGTGGGCTGCAGGAAATTTTGTTTTTGTAATATAAATGAAATAGGAAGAAACTATAAGAAATTAAATCATTGAATGAGTCCATATTCTGAATATTTAATTTATACTAAAGAAGCAATTTTTTCAGTAGAATAATAAACTAAGAAAACAAATTTGTATAAATTTAAACATGAATAAAAATCCTTATGAAATAGATAACATTCTTATAGCACTTAATGTGCTTTTTAGTTTTAGAAAGGTAATAGTAGCCGTGCCTCTCTGTTTTGTGAAAAATGGGTACCATTTCCATAGGGCAGTGTAGAATCACAGCTCAGAATGTAACCAGTAAAAAAGAAAACTAAAAAAAAAAAAAGGAGAAAACATGATGTCTATTAAATTAACCTATACTCTACACCTTTTCTTTTACTTCTCACCCCTAACTTACCTGCACACTATCTTTGGGCACAGATTTGAAACCTGAGCTTGAGAATGACTTATATAAATCTCTTATCCAAATGCCTCCTCTGTGCAGTGTAAGAATTTTAAGAAGTTTTAAGAATCAGAAGTTTTAACCTTCTGATTCTACTGCCACAGGAAACTTGGTCTTAAAGGAAAATTACTGGGAAGATTTTCAGGTACATGGTTCCTGTAGGGAGCAAAGGGCTCCCCACCCATGTACATAGAAGCCAATAAGGTAACACTGACTTCTGAGAAAAGGAAGTTTATGGTATGACAAAGGGACAGAAGGCAAGAATCAAGTCTGTTTGTCAAGTCTGTCTCTTCAATATGGAGGAGTTTATAGGAGCAGAAGAAGGGAAAAAATGCCCAGAATGTGGAATTAGGGATATGGCAAGGTCTGATTCTGTAGTCACAAATTGAAATGTTGGTGGGGACAGACGCTTAACAGGATTTTCCTTTTTTAAAAAAAGATTTATTTATTTATTCATACAGAACTGGGGTACAAGCCAGAGATGTAGGAGCGGTGAGGGGCTTCACCAGAAGCAGAGTGGGGAGCAGAACAGGCAAAACCATGAAGTACACTACTGAGGGGAGCAGCAGGAGGGTCAGAAGAGGTCACCTCCAGGGCCAGGGATCGAACTCACACTGAAGCGTCTGCAGATAGCTTGCAGTGCCACATCCTAGCCTGTTGTGCCACTAGGGAGGGCCAAGATTTTCCTTTTTAATGGACCCTTCTTTGCTTTGAATGTAGTCCAGGCAACTGCTCACAGACTTTGCTTTTGAATATAATCTGAACTGTCCCTCCATTCTTTCTTCTTGACTCTGTGAATTCTTGGTTCTCACCCACTTAATTCTCCACATGTGCAGTTTTCCTGACTCACAGCCAAACATTAAGCCCCTGGAAAGCAGATGTTTGTAAACACAGTTCGGAAGTTAAATACCACAACAGTTCAGATCGATGGTGGTGGATTGGCCATGATTTTAATTCCTCCACTCAGTCTGAGCTGATACTATGCTAGAAATTTTAGGACTTGAAAAAATTTTGCATGGACAGGACTTAAAAGTAGTACCTGATTGTCCTAGAATAGAGTTTCATCTAAAAGTAAACCATTAAACAATTAGGCATTATTAAATATAGTTAATAGAGGGATTTTGGTTGTCCATTTTTGCTTGTCTGTTTTCTTATATCATAATCCATTTCATACAGTGTTTTGATTTTTTCCCCCTTAGATGTAATCCCCATAATTCTCCCACCACCACAGCACCCATGAACTATCAGTGGTGATTTTTTTTTTATCCAGATACATTCTTTTCAGAGTATTCAACATGAAAAGTACCCCTTAGACAAAGTTGCTCTGAAGATTATACTAACAACATAGTACTAATTAATCTATGAATAAGCAGTATTTGTACTTGACAGCCTTATATTTTATATTTAACATGACACATCTCTAAATTCATCTTAAATGTTTAGTGAAATTTAAACCAAAACAATAATTTAAATAAGTCAATTAAGTTAATTAAGTTAGCTGATTTGCCTAAAAGTTTACATGATAAAATTTTAAACTAACTTTTGAGAACAGGTAGATAATGTGTAATCTTGTCAACTTTGTCATATTTTTGCCTTAAATCTCTATTATATATCTTTGTAATATGAAATAATGTATTTAAATAATAACTCTCAAGGAATAGGACAAAAGGAGAATAGATTTAAAAATTGGATAAACAGATAGAAATAAATATCTTTCATAAATGCCACATATCATTCAAGTTCATAAAATTGACCTGACTCATTTTTCAGCAGTAAGATCTATTAGGTCTGACAGGATATGTCATAAGTTGTAAGCATTGTTAAAATAGATTACGTATTCTCCCCCCCCCCACCCCTACCCCTAGATACCCATATTTTTGCGGGCTTACTAGCCTTGGGCTCTCTGCATTTTCTTAGAATTGAACAAGCTAGCATAAAAAAGATAGGAATGCCACTTGTAAAAAGAAGTCATTGTTACATGAAAACTTTATTGTGCAAAACTTTATTGTGCATACTGTCATTTTGGGATGAAGGTTACGTCAGCAGTCTCATTTAGAACATTTAGTCACCTGTGCAATAAGGAATGTTTAAAGGGCCATTCAAGACTCTGGAGCAGATGTGTGAATATAGCTCCGTAGCTCCTTAGGTTAGTAAACATTCAGACTGATGGAGTTGAATTGCATCTTTTGTTCTCTATGGAAAACAAGGGCAGTTGTATCAGAATTCTCTCTTAGGGCTACATAAAGCAATTTGTCTGGTTTAAAGTCAAATTTATTTTAGTAAAGGAGTATAATAGGCAAATTGTGTGATTTATACTAAGGATGGTTTATGTCCTAACTTATTTAGAGATAGAATAGTATCTCTGTTAAGATGGGCACTCAGAGTTACCTGGGATACAAAGTTCAATTATAAATGGAAAGGGATAAACTGTACTTATAATTTTCTTCAGCAAATTCTTTAATGACAATTTCTCTGTGTAACAAAGATTCTCAAACTATATGATCAGCTCAGTTTTGGTATCATAAACCTAGTACTTCCAATGAATTATATTGGTGAGCTTATTAGACTGTCTCACAAAATTATGTTTAGAAGTTAACATGAACATGATTTCTCTAACATGATTTGTCCCTTGATTAATTGCATGTTTCCCTTGTATAAATGTATTAATTTTTTTCTAACATTAATTTGATCAAGTTGTCTGATTATTTTGTTATACTCTTCTATAACATGGCTCAAAGTTTTCTAAACTGAAGCCATATTTTCAATCCCATTTCCCTAATTTTTCTCTTGGTCATCTCTCCTCATTATGAACCAAGGGAGGAGGGTAATGTGGAGGAAGAATAGTTCATTATTTTGGCACCATCTTTCTTTTATAGCACATAATGTTCTGACCAATTCTGTGGTTCTCAAAATGTAGTTCTTAGGAACATGTTTTGACACGTGAAGATATGTGTAATGAACAAGTGTTTGTTTAGGATCATACCTCACTATTTGCTTATATTTCCGGAAGGAGGCAATTACACTGACAGGTGTCACTTTCAGAGAGTAAGAGGCCAGGTGATTTTGGATGCACAGAGTTCCCTGTGGCAGGGTCTGCTGTTTTAGGGCCTCTACATTTTCAGAGCTTCGAGAAACCACTCCCTGTTTGAAAAAAAAAATTATTTTTTTCCTTCCCTGATGTCATTATTGTTGCTATGGAGAGGAAATGAGTGCTGCGTGATATTGCTGGAAAAACCAACACTGAAGTATTTCTGTACAGCAAATAGTGCACTTCATACCTTTTTTTCTCCCATAAATGTATGCTTGCTAAAAATGGTCAGAACTAAAATACCAAAAAAGAACGATTCCTTTGCCCCAACTACTTTGGCATATAAAATTTTGTAAAAGTATGCTAAATAAATCCTTTCTAATAATGGTAAAAGGAATGAAATATGTAGTAAGCCATGCACATTCAAGAAGAAGAAAATGTTTTATAAACTCATAAGCAGTACTTATACTATTTGACACATTAGTCTTAGAGAAGTCCGTCTTACTGTTTTACAATCTATTTTTAACATTGAGTCATTTGGCTGAACAGCATGACCCCTTTCAGTTTTGAGCCTTTGGAAGAGACCAGTGCTGATTTCATTTGGTATCATTTTTGAGACACTCTTTCCATTCGTGCTGAAACCAGGGGTATGTTTGTGATATCTTAGCATTAACATAAGATTCTTGATTCATCTGACCATGAGAACTGGTCAGTCATCAAAAGATCCTAGACTTGGGGTTATGTAATAAAAGACATTTTAAAAAGACTTGTAAATAATTTATCAATCTCTATTGAAGTGTTCTGAATTCTGTTGTTATTAAGTAAATAATTAAGATTTTCCATGAGGAAAGTACTTTAGCTTATCAGTTTAGCTAATGGAGGAAGGTTTCCACCTTTGAATCTATTGCTTACAGATTCACTGCCTGCATTATTCTTGCATCTGGAATACGTTTAATGTGAATGGCTGATCTGTTGCATCTACTTCTTTTTGCCTGCAGTGGCACATCTAGTGATGAAATGTGCAACTTATACATTATGTATTACATGGAAGCCAAGCACGCAGTTTCCTTCATGACCTGTACACAGAACGTTGCTCCAGATATGTTCAGAACCATACCTCCAGAGGCCAATATTCCAATACCCGTGAAGTCTGATATGGTTATGATGCATGGACATCACAAAGGTAAAATTGGTATTTAAAGTAAAATAACACATGATTTTGTATCTTATATTTTTTTGTATGTGTCTGATTTGACTATTATGGTTAATAGTTAAAATCATCCTGTTATATCTGGTGATGAAACAGATTAGCTTGGAATGAATTCTGTAAAATAGATCTTTCTTCATTTAATTTATGTTTTTTAGTTTCCCCATTTTATTCTTTGTTATGCTGTTCTAACGAGTACAGTTTGCCTGTGAAAATTATCACCTCCAACCATACTCTGAATTATCTACTTAATGGGCCTCTTCAAGCAAAAGATAGTTCTTGATTTATGAAGCATTGCTGGCCTTGACCCTTTTGGTCTTTCAGAATTGTTCTTTAGCTTATTGTTCATCTGCAAAATGATTGTATTAACTGTCATTTTTTTTAGATAAAATTGCAAAATATACAGCCTATTGCATTGGATGAAATATGATAATTTTCTGAGTTTTTTAAGTTCAATTTTAGCATGCCAGGAAAAATTCTTATTCCTTTCTAGTAGAAATTTTATGAAAGAAGATCACATAGCAGGTTAATTTATTAAGTTAGATAAGCAATTTACTTAAAATGTTATTAAATTAATACATCCTTTAAAATTACTAAATTCAGTTTTTAAAATATGAGCAGTTTTATTAACACTTTTTGAAAAATGCTGATTTATGTATCTATTATTGAAAGAGTAGTTGCTCTAGTTATTAAGTCACAAGTCTTGTAATTAGCCACTATGTTGCAATATTTTTGTGAATTAAAGCGGCTCTACCATATAAATTCTCTTGTGTTTATGGAACACAAGACAGTTAATAATGTGTAAATGTTGCTGGCGTGTTTCCAGTAAGCTATTTAAAGTATATAATATACACTGCAAATCTATGCTCAACTTCATCATTTTTTTTTTTTACAGAAACAGAGAAGAAAGATAAGACTTTACTTCAGCAGCCCAAACAAGAAGTGTTAGAACAGGGTATGTATGCTGACTTCTGTAGAAGTATTCATTATCCAAATAAGCAACCACATTTTACAGTTTTTGAACTTTTTTAGGTCTTTTATTATAAGCCTCCAACCTTATGCGTTGCTGTTTTTCAGTAATGCATACATAGTTCATGAGAATATGGTCAATCGTTGCACATTAGCTCTGAAAGTAAAATTATTAGTGTTAATTTAGTCCTGCTAGACTTTTCTGTCTTTGTTGTAGATTATTTCATGTTGTAACTTTTATATGTAGTATAAGTAAGTGCAAATATCATCATTAGAAACTATTGGTGAGGCTGCTTTTGAAATAATGTTTTTTTTGCCATTTAAATTCTTGTGTTTTTTGTATGTTATGTTCATAATGATCTTTGGGGTTCAGGAAAAAAAAATAAGAATTAAACTCGCATCATGCCTCCCTTAAGTCGTTCTTTACTGTCTTCAGTAGGTAGGAGAGATTAATGTCTTATACGTTTGTAATTTTGTGTTAAAGCATCTTTCTTCCTTTGTTCTGTATATGTGAAGTGGTAATACTTAATGCTTAGTTATCATATCTAGATATGGGAGCACTGAAAAATTACTCTCTTCAAACGTGGTTTTTTGCTATGTTCTTAGAAGACAGTACTTTATGTTATTATGTCATTTTTGGTCTAGATACATTTTAAAACAGTTTAAACAGTTTAAACCTGAAGCAAACATACTCCTACTGACAATAAATGTATACAGAAAATAGAAGTTTTCTGCTATCAACTTACATAGGGTTTTCTGATTTCTCCTAATTCATATAATAGTAAATCACTGTGGTAATTCTTCAAAGTAAAAGTTAGCATTATGCTAGTGGTATTTACAAAATTATAGAATTCAGACTTTTAAGAAAAAAATATTTTCAGCATGTTATAGGATAACCTGTAATACAAAAGATTTAAATTCTATAGGATATGTCTCATAAATTCTCATTCTTACAAAGTGGCCTCAAGAAAAACAACCCAATGTTGTTTCTGTTTTTTCATTGTGAAAAAAGGAGGTGATTTTATATTAAAATATTTATACTAAGTGAATGATATGAAAATATTTCATATGATTTTAAATAGCTATATTTATTAATCATATGTGTATATTTGTAAGATCAGTAATTGCAGCTTAAGTATCATAATATAATAATGCTTATTAACATGGTACTGCAATTTGATCAGACTTACAGTGAATTGTTTTGACATTGGGTACATTGTTTACAAGTTTATGATTGAATTAATTTGTATCATTTTAAGTGTACATTTCCAAATACCAATATATGTGATGCAGTATAGAATGAGACCATTAATATTTGCAATTTATAAAACAGTATCTATGGAAACTGATGCTAAACCATGTTTTTCTTTTGAAGTTATCTGAGTTGATAAAGAGAGATATTAAAACCAATGAAAGATTAGAAACAGAGTTTTATTAGCAAGGAAACTTAAATGTTAAATGTAATCTGTTCTTTCCAAATCATATTTAAGGATGCCATATATATGGTTGCATTTCATATTATTGCAAAAGACTTTTATATTTTCCCATTTATTTGCTTTTTTGTTTCTCATGGCATATATGTAGTATTCAGTGGTGATACCCAAACTCTTATTAGTTCCAGAACTAAGGTCTCTGGACACATAGGAAGTTATTTTCCTCAGTTACCTTTTTCTTTTGTATATGAATAAAATGCTATGAAATATTTTTTCATTTGTCTTGGGAAGGAAAAAGCATTATTCCCACTCAGTTTTCATAATGCAGAAAATAGACTGTGATATTTGTTGAAATTAGTGAATCCATCAGAATGTCACTTCCTAGATTATGGAATACAAATACCTCACTAAAAGTCATTCCAGTGGTCAGTGTAACTGTGTGTTATTCTACTAGTCTTTGAGGACTGCCAGCTTAGAATTTAAAGAGAAATATATCAAATGCATATTTGTACATTTAGTCCATTTTATTCACTAATGAGATCAATCTGTCTCCTTGTAATACACAGGGCAAATCTACTCATTACTGAGAGAGTGTCCCATTCTTCTCAGAGATATTGTTTGCACTTGCACAAATGTCTATTTGTATTCATCCCCTGAGGAGTTGAACTCACCAGTTCCTAATGGGAGGGCTCTAATTATTCAAGTAAATTATGCTGTGTATGCTGATTATAAAGTAAGCGGGCAAGCTTAGTGCTTTGCCTTATTTTGGTATTCTAACCAAAACAATTTGTGTTCAAGTACTTCTCTTGATAGTTGATTCTTTTAATATTTTACATCCTCAATAAATAAGTTTTTTTGAATTATTTCAACTGTGTGAGACACAAACTAATTAACAGCTTTTATATTGGTCGCACAGAAGACTTTGAACCTCCACTTGAAATAGAAAAGTTGAGAGTCAAGAAAGGTCCCACATATCAGAAGACTTGTATTTTAAGTCATATTCTATACTAATCACTGATGAAGTAATAAGGGTAGTTCTACCGGGGTAATACTGACAATACTGTTTTGTTTATAAAACATTGGAAAACAGATAACATGAGAAACATCAAGATATATAATAAATGTTATGTTGTAAAGGAGAGGGGCCTTTATTAAGGTGGTAAAAAAGAGAGACATACCCAAACGCATGTTCCATAGGCTGAAAAAAAAAGAAAGAAAGAAAAGGAAAACATAGCTGTGCCACAAATGGACAGAAGCTAGTAGATACTTCCAACATGATGAAGGAAAATTCAAGTGACCTGTTAACAAAGGTTTATACAGTACTGTTTCTCCTGGAAAAATTTAAGTACAGTATTTTATTTTCTTTGAATTAATTACCTAATTTTTCCAGAATATTAATCTAGATTAGAAGTTAACTAGAATTTGAAAGAGACATTTGAGGTGTGTGAATCCATGTGGGGTAGCTTGACCTGTGCTTACTCACCACATACTAAACTTTGCAGTATCCTAGTCCACATCTGCTCCCTCTAGAACACAATTTGTTGGAAAGCAAATGTATCTCAGATTCTGTCTCAACAGATGTAATTACAGAGACACCAGAAGAACTTCATTATGCGACAGCTTTACCTGTCAGGCATTGTCATGCAACAATGGGGAATGCTTTAATGAAGGTTTAATTAAGTCTGTAGGGATTTTTTTAATAATGCTTATTTGACTGATTTTTAGAATAATACTCATTATAGAAGACATGAAAATTATATAAAAATATGAAGAAGCAAATAAAATCTTCTTCCATAATCCCCAGAAATACAGTGATATGTATAGCTGTGTTTGAAATATATATGGGCACATTATTTTAACAGTATTTAGATCATAATATATACACAATTTTGTATTCTTCCTGTAGCAGTGTTATATTTTAAATATTTCTCCCAATTGTAAAAATTATTGGTTTCACACAGTTTTTAATGACTGCATAATATATGTCTATTACTTCCTCTATGCTTGAAAATGCTTTTTGCCTATAAGTGAGCTTATTTGTGAATGAGTTGACTATGTTTGCCTTCATGCTGAGTAACAAAGAGAAATGTTACCATTTTTTAAAAAGATTCTAAGTGAGGAATTAAGTTACACATATAACAAGCACATTAAACACTAACATCCAATTAGACAGTGATTCTGGTCAGAGGAAGTACATGTTAGGATGCTCTACACAAAAAGGATGTCAGCATTGAGGCTGTCCAGAGCAAACACACAGCTATCTCCCTTACTTATTTGGTATGGTTGACACTTTTAGGGGAAACAAATGCATGACTTGATAGTTAGTTCTCTATTTTTATGTATTATAAGTTCCTATATTTGTTCACTACACTGAAGGTAACCTGAGTTTTCTCTCAACAATTTGTAGGCAAGTACACAGTCTGAAAATAAGAAACTTACCAGCTGCAAATAGCCTATACAATTATACTTAAGAGTTCTGAATTTAAATGTTTCTCTCCTTTAAAACTGAGAGTATAAAAATTAGTATTGGAATCTGTAACAGTTGTATTAGATTTCAATCTTTGAAAAAAAATCAAGGTAAAACTACAAGTCAAATCTGTAATACCGGCATGTCCTTGTTATTGTACATTTTGCTCTGGACATTTCTTTTGCTGCAAAAGGGCCTTTAACATGTTTTATTCAGTTTGCTCCAAACTCTTCTCATTGTACTCACTGTGCCCTGGTATAATCAATCTTTCTGCTCAAAGGTCAGCATGAGCCTACTATATTCCCAAGGCAGGGAGAATATGACAAAAATACAATTTGTGGAGGAAAAACACTCTATGACCCCCAAATAGTTACCTACCACAGAAGATACCTTCTGTGAAACAGAATAATTTCACAGTGGTTTATGCTAACAAAAATGAATTACCATTGGCATGTTTTATCAAATACGTGCAAAGAAAGAAACAAGACTGCAAGTTAAAAATCCAATTGTCTGTTGTGAAAGCTTGTTAAAGTAACAGTTGGTAAACCATTTATGAGAATGAGATAAAGAATGAACTTAATAGCTAAAATCAATACCTTTATTTTGTTCAATAAAGAACACTCCTTTGTGTTCCCTACTATAGTACAACTGATTTTAGTAACATTTTTGTAGCTAATTCTTACACTTCCTATGCCACTTGGCTATTCTAAAGAAGATAGAACTCTTATTTGTATTTCCATTCAGTAAAAGTACATCTGTTTGCTATGATTTATGAACAACTCACAGTTTTTATTTATTGAACTCATCTATCAAACACAATTCTAAATACCCCCCAAGGCACCAGGAAGCTGAGTGTATGCTGTTGGGTGTATTGGTTTCCTAATAACAGAATAGGTAGATATGAACAACCATTTATCACACAATTGGGCTTTCAGATTTAGGTGTGTGTGTATGGTACTTACAAAAGCCATCCTATCTTAACTTCTAATTTTTACCATTTGTGACATTTTCTTAAAAGGAGAAGACAAAGGTCCATTTTTGATTTGTCTTCCATGAGTCTTATTCATGGAAAAAAATAGTGAAGTT